ATAGTTTCAGTGTAGAAGTCTTTCGCCTCCTTGGCTAAGTTTATTCCTACAAATTTTATTCATTTTGATTCTGTTGTAAATTGAATTGTTTTCTTAATTTCCCTTTCAGATTGCTCATTGTTGGTGTATAGAAATGCAGATGACTTTTGTTTGTTGATTTTTTTATCTGCAACTTAGCTGAATTCATTTATTAGCACTAATAGTTTTTCTGCGGAATCTTTAGAGTTTTCTACATTTAAGATTATGTTGTTTGCGGCTGGGCAGGGTGGCTCAAGCCTGTAATTCCGGCACTTTTTAGCTAGGCATGGTGGCACACACCTATAGTCCCAGCTACTTGGGAGGCTGAGGCAGGAGAATCACTTGAACTTGGGAGGCAGAGGTTGCAGTGAGCTGAGATCGTGCCGCTGCACTCCAGCCTGGGTGACAGAGTGAGAATTTGTCTCAAAATAAATGAATAAGTAAGTAAGTAAGTTTGTGTTGTTTGCACCCAACTTACATATTTTTTGTTTTGTTTTGTTTTTTTGAGACAGAGTCTTACTCTGTCACCCAGGCTGGAGTTCAGTGGTGCGCCATGTTGGCCAGGCTGTTCTCAAACTCCTGACCTCAAGTGATCTACCTGCCTCAGCCTCCCAAGTGCTGGAATTACAGGCGTGAACCACCGTGACCAGACCCACCTTATATTTTAGTATTGTTTTGTAACTGTTTCATTTAATAAATGTTTCAAACATTTTCTTATTTTTAATTCTATATTTGTCAACATTGGTTAAAACCAAGTTCTACTGGGCAGTACAGGAAAAGTGTTCCCAGGAGCAACATTCGCTGGGCAAAGGCCTCAACTTTCCCAAGCTTCATTCCAAAAGGACGTATGCACATGTGTTCCAGTCAGCTCTACCCAATGAACTATCAGAGCATAAAAGCCCAGAGACTTTCTGGAGCCAAGCCGAAGGTCTGCTGAGAGGGAAGGGCCAGCGCTCTCCATTGTGCCCTCTTTGCTTTGCCTCTGGCCACCTCTCTCTGCTCAGAGTTTAAGTTCCCATGTTTAGTCCTCTTCTAGGAATCTTTCCCCTGGTGTGAAGGAGGGTACGATTCTACCCAAGCATGCCCTGTCATAATGCCAGCTTCCTTAATGTATTCTTTATTCCCTGCCAGATGGAAAGCATTCGTGCTGCTCTTGTCAAATCAGCAAACCCCCAGACAGTAGACAGTGACTGACTATATTGGCTCTGTATTAGGTGTGCAGGGACAACATTCTGATCTGGGGTTGATCTAAGGATAGGTGATTGCTTGGTGTCTCTAGAGTCTATGGTGTGTTAATTTGTCTTTTCTTTCTGTCTCTATTACAAAGAAAGTCCAGACACTGGAGGTAGTTGGGAACTCATCTTTGTCATCATCGTGCTGTGCCGCAGGAAGAGTTTTCTAACTAGCTGGGCCAGAAGGTCCCTTTCCTCAGCTCCACCTCAAAGACCCCTTTAGAAGAGGTTCATTCCTGGCCGGGCGCGGTGGCTCACGCCTGTAATCCCAGCACTTTGAGAGGCCGACGCGGGTGGATCATGAAGTCGGGAGATTGAGACCATCCTGGCTAACACGGTGAAACCCCGTCTCTACTAAAAATACAAAAAATTAGCCAGGCCTGGTGGCAGGCACGTGTAGTTCCAGCTACTCAGGAGGCTGAGGCAGGAGAATGGTGTGAACCCGGGAGGCGAAGTTTGCAGTGAGCCAAGATCGTGCCACTGCACTCTAGACTGGGTGACAGAGTGAAACTCTGCCTCGAAAAAAAATAAAAAAAAAAAGAAGAGGTTCATTCCCAATGATGGAATGTGAGTGACTGCTTTCCTTGGGACGGAAAGGTCTAGTGCTGTAAGGAAGTGGGGAGCCAGCACTGCGCTGGTGTCTGTGTAGGTCCCCTACCATATTTCATCTCATTTACTGCACAACACTAAGAAAGGAAACATGGTGCCAACAAACCAGGCACGCCTTCCAGCAAGGTGTGTCCTCATCGTGTGAAATGGATGCATCTTAGAAGTAACGTGACACAGCATCTTAATCTGTCTCACAAGGTGCTTGTAATGGTGAATGTGTCCTCCACATTTTTGCAGATTAAGAAATGGGTGTGGCCAGGCGTGGTGGCTCACGCCTGTAATCCCAGCACTTTGGGAGGCCGAGGCAGGTGGCTCACCTGAGGTCAGGAGTTCAAAACCAGCCTGACCAACAACTACTAAAAATACAAAAATACAAAATACAAAAATTAGCCAGACGTGGTGGCGTGCGACTGTAGTCCTAGCTACTCGGGAGGCTGAGGCAGGAGAATTGCTTGAACCTGGGAGGCAGAGGTTGCGGTGAGCCAAGATCATACCACTGCGCTCCAGCCTAGGCAACAGAGCGAGACTCCATCTCAAAATAATAAAATAAAATAAAATAAAAAATAAAATCTCAAGGCTTTGCAGCTGAGTAATGGCAGGGCTGAAGATTCAGCCCATGATGTTTAATGCCAAAACCAAAACCTGTTGCCAGCCTCCATCCCTGCCTTCCCCTGGAGCCTGGAGGCCCCCACCCCCATTTTCCACACTGCTATTGTGGAGCCTGAATGTGAATATGACCTTGGAATTACCCTGCCTTAAAAGTACCATTAGAGAAATGTCTGAGCTCCTTACTGATGCTTGCTGAGCCCTGGCCATCTCTGTCTCCTCTTCTTTCTCATACCCTACCTGCACTCTGCTCTGCAGCAGCACATCAGCCTATTTCTTGATTCCATGCTGTGCATCCCCTCAGCCTGAAATCCCTCTCTCTCACCCGATCTTCTGGCTAACTCTTACTCAACCTTTGGGACCCAATTCAGTTATTATATTTACAGGAAGCCCGAAGCTGAATGAGTCAGGTGGCTTTCTACTTGTGAAGTGTCCATCAGCGGACATCTTACTAGGGGAGTTTGTATGATTATATATCTTTACTTTCTCATTGCTTAGCTTAATGCCTGGCACATAGTAGAAATCTGCAAACAGAGACTGAGTGAGAAAACATGCAGTCGATGCTGTGAGTGGGCATGATCTAAAGTGCACAGGCTCTAATTGGTACCTGTGCAGCTGAGCCTGGCTCAGCCTGTGTGTGCTCTTGGGTAGTCGGGGGAACTGTGACTTGCAGGTAAGGGTTTCTGATGTGCTTCTTGAGGGGACTCATATCATACAATGTCTCACAGACTTATGGAACTGAAAAGCACTCCAAGGGGAGGGGAATGTTCCGCCCTGATTGCCTGTCAAGACCAAGGCTGTCAGCTAGAATATTTTTTGTTAAAATGACAAATGCCCAGCTAAAGTTGGCTTAAGCAGAAAAGCAAATGAATTGGCATTTTGGGTTCTCTTATATGACAAACCCCTAAATTTGCTGGCTTAAAATAATAACAGTTTTATTATTTGCTCATAATTCTGCAGCTTGTCAGGACTCAGCAGGTCCAGCTCATCTTGGCTCTATGGAATCTGCTGGGATGGCTCAAATAGCTTGGGGATAGAACACCTCACCACGCCTGTGTCTGTGGCCTTGATTCTCACTTGTCCGGGCTCTTTGATGCTCTACATGTGGCCAGTTTGGGCCTCTTCAAAACATGGTGGTCTCAGGGTACTTGGACTTTGCACATGGCAACTAGATTTCTCCAGAGAGCCAAAGTTGAACTGCTAGACTCTTTAGGCCTACACCTGGAACTGGAGCAACATTGCTTCTGTCATTTCCCTTTGGTTAAAACGGGTCCCAGGTGTTTCAGATAAGGGATACTCAACCTGTACTACATAATGACCAGTAAGAAGGAAAGTGTATTTTCTCTCAAGTTCATGCTTGATTTGACTGCACGGCTACGGCTCTCCACAGCTGGGTGCTGCCTGGGTCCCGTGCTGGGCAGTGCCTTTTGGGCATCAGCATTTAATTTTCAACACTTGCATGGGAGCCCTGGCAGGACTTCACAGTTCTCAGGCAGCCACTGCCTGCCCACACACCCCTGACCCCAGTAGTTGCTGAGTGATTCTAGGGCTGGTGACTCTGGTACTGTATCCACATTGCCGCCTCTTGGGTGACAGAGACAGAACATGTTCAATTAAGAGACTCTTGGCAGCAGCCCATCTATATCAGCAATTGCCGATGCTTAGTTCATTGTCATGTATCTCCTTTGCCACTGAACAAATATTACTGCGCTACCATGCACTGGGTACTACGCCAGAGGGAGAAGATGTGATGAACTTAACAGCAACTGACATACTACTTGTAGCTCTTGTACCTTTGTCCTAGAAGCAGGGAGCTGGACAAATGCCCACCAGGCATGAGTCCCTTCTATGGTCTGCTGGGTTTCAAGCTCCTACAGTGCTTTTGCCAGTCTGATCCACCCACCCAGCCAGCCAGCTAGCTTCATGGGATCCTAGTGCAAGCCTCAGAACTAATAGCCACAGTCCTTTCTCCTGGAGGAATTGAACAGCTAATTTAACATAGAATACAAACTGTGAAGGAAGTTCGGCCAGAGGAGATGCTGAGATGGCAGACTGTATGTGAACTTCACAGCACAAACAAAAGAGGGCTGTTTGGAAGCAGAAGTATGACAAGTGAAGAAATGCTCCTTGGTTGCAGCCAGCCCTGGTCCTGCTCAGCTGTCAGCCAGAAAAGACAAATAGTGCTCCTTCTGTCCAGGCTTCCAGTCAAGTGCAGATCTGCACAATAGGGAGATGTCTGGAGTTATAGCTGTGTGCCCTTTTCACTAAGTACCTGCGACTCAGAACTTTAATCATGAACAGCTCATAGCCTTTACAAACACACATCCCTGCAAGATGGCAGACAAATGCCCAGGCATCCTGTGGGCTCAGCCATTCTCAGTGATGGAATGCTTCCTCCCACTGTTGGACTTTCAGCGGTCTAATGTTTGGAGAATCTTCTAGCAGTTTAGACTTTAACTGAATCTGTTGAGTTTGATACTCTTCAATGAATAAAAGCCAATTTAGATATTGTATTTTTTTTTTCTTTGTTTCCAGGCAAGCCAATTTTTTCAGTTGATATTCACCCTGACGGGACCAAGTTCGCAACTGGAGGACAAGGTATGTTTATGGAATAATGAAAGGGAAAACTTAGCAGTCCTGGCACCTTGCTCTTCTCCTGCTGTCCATTTAACTGTAGAGGGAATACTTGCTATTTTTCAGTACAGATGCAACGCTGCTTAAAATGTGTAGTTATAATGTGTTATCTAAATGGATAAAATCAAAATCCTTTTATGGCTTTAGTGTGCTCTCTGTAAATATTTTGGCAGCAGGTTTATCATTCTAATTTCTGTTTATTGGGTTAATATTAAAATAAGTTTGTATCCCCAAGCTTGTTGAGCATCGAGAGTGGCAGGTGGTGCAGTGGGCAAAGCCCAGCCCCAGAGGCAAGGGCTCTGTCAGTACTTTTCTTATCTGAAAAAAGGGAATGAGAGTGGTGTAAGCTTCTAAAGCAATCATGTAGTTTTTAGGCCCATTTTCTCGTCAAAGGAATTCAGCTAGGTTAAGGAGAAAGTACACTGTGGGCAAGTAAGAAAGCCCACACCATTTGAAACTGTTATTGGTAGTATTGCCCTTCTGCTGCAGCCAGCATCTTTTGCAATGTTACATGGTTCTATTTGGAAAGACAGAGCTGTTCTTCATGCTAGGACACCAAGGTGTATATATAGTGACAGAATGTAGCATTCCACAGAGCCCAGCCCCCTGTCGTCTTCACCCCAGAACAGGGCCTCCCTCCAACCAGGCCTCCCCAGGCAGCACTTAGAGAGTGACTTTATGAGCTCTAGGTCCTCGGGCCAGGTGCTGCAGGGTGGTTTTCCAGCAGATGGTTCCACCCAGAGTCAAGGAGCTGGAAGGGAGTGTAGGGAAGCTGTGGGCAGGGAAGCCTTTCTCTCCTTCCATGCTGTGGACTGTACCCAAGAGGAGGTGCAGCACATGAGAGAGAACACATGGACTTAGCTGGAGAAATTAGAGGGTTTGCACCTGTACCCAGAAGACACACATTTTACCACGTTGGTCCAGCAGAAATGTTTGGAACTATTTTTACATATTGGCCAAGGGGCAGTTTCAAACATGCTTTATGGTAATTTTGGCATGTTCATTGGATTTGGCCCCATTATAATAGGAAATTAAGTGAGGGGCTAAACTTTGTTAGATATCAGTGATAGAAAGCTTAGAAATCATTACTAAGGCCAGGCATGGTGGCTCACACCTGTAATTTCAGCACTTTGGGAGGCCTAGGCAGGCAGATCATCTGAGGTCAGGAGTTCAAATCAGCTTGGCCAACATGGTGAAACCCCATCTCTACTAAAAATACAAAAATTAGCTGGGTGTCATGGTGTTCGCCTGTAATCCCAGCTACTCGGGAAGCTGAGGTAGGAGAATCACTTGAACCTGGGAGGCGGAGGTTGCAGTGAGCCGAGATCATGCCACTGCACTCCAGCCTGGGAGACAGAGCGAGACTCCATCTCAAAAAAAAAGAAAGAAAATCATTACTAAAAGGCATGGGTATATTTTTCAGCCAAGCAATACATCACCTCATGCACAGGAGCCCTAAATCCCCTCTTTTGGTTGGTCTCTCATCTGTAGGTAACTGCAAAGGGTAGATAACAAGATAATGAGCCCTTTTTCCTGTGTTCAGGGTGCATTTGGGTCTCAAAACAGTCAGCTCTGAAAGAGCCTAAATTCCAGGCAGCCCCTGGAAGGCGAGCCCCACTGTGTGGGGCTGTGGTGTGCTTTTCTTTTTCCTTTTAGGGTGTACATAGAACGGAAAAGGTCTTGTGACATTGACTCTCCCTTCTCCTCATTTCACAGATGAGGAGTCAAGGAGTCAGAGTCTAGGTGCTGGGGGGGCATGAAGACCTTCTAGGGAACCCTGGTGGATCCGTGTTAGAGGCTAGACCAGAGCTCAGTTCCCTCCTGATTGCTAAAGTTCTTTTTGTAAAGTCAGGTTGACTTCTGCTAACTGCTAAGTCCTCTCTGTTTGGTCCCCATGAGTACTTATCATCTTTTCTGTAACTTAAATTAGTAATTTAAATTCAGTCTCCTTAGATCTAGTTAATTATTATTTATGGAAGCTAAGCGAGGACTTCTCATTTAATTGGACATTAAATATTAATATCAAATTTCTACTCCTTGCACATTCAGTCATTTCTGCTCCTTCATTCCAGGGCAGGATTCTGGGAAGGTTGTGATCTGGAATATGTCTCCAGTCCTCCAGGAGGATGACGAGAAGGATGAAAATATTCCCAAGATGCTTTGCCAGATGGACAATCACTTAGGTATTACAGAGTGGCCCTTTGCAGGCTTTGCGTGTTGGCAGAGTGCCCAAGGTTAGCACATGTGTTTGTAATTAGAAAGATAAGGCCCCGTGCGGCGGTAACTCCCCTCGGCCTGCTGTCTGAAGGCACAGATGTTGGCTGCACACCTGGGTGAGTTATTCGGCAGAAGACTCGGCCCGCCCACAGAACCATCTTTGGACAGTCTGCAGGTACCTCTGGTGATTTCCTGCTCATGAGTCGTTACTGCCTGATTCCATGGGGCTTTGGGGCCAGCGACCTGGACACAATAGGGTTCTAGGGAAGGGTGCGCAAGAGACAGTTTACCAAAACATCTCAGGTTGGCACTGTGTCACTCCGAGGCTCTCTGCCAGGACCCTTTTGGCCACCAGACAGTGTCATGGTTTCCTTTCCTGCTGTAGTGCCTTAGTTTCCCACCCCTGAGATGCTTAATGAACAGTCACTGACCTTTGGACATCAGCTCCTTCCTTTGCTCTGTGTGTTCTTGTCCTCTCAACATGCCTCTCAGCATCTTCAGACTTGGAGCATAAGTTACTCACAGGCCATGTGGGGGCTACAACTTTGATAGCCATCTTTCAGGTCTCCCAAAGGCCAAGTTGTGAGTACTCTTGGAGGCTGTGGCCCATCAGAGGCCTGGGGGAATTTCTGCTGATGTTAGTTTATAAGCGCAGAGTCAATCAATCTGCAGTGCTGGCGAGTTTGGAAAATCCGAATGTGAAAGGGCTGGCTCTGACAGATGAGATGAAGTCAGAGTTTTATACCCTAACAGACTGCTCACCTGAAAATTCTAGAAAAAGCATCTGACCCTTTTTTAGCACATACTCTCTTTTTGAGAATAATCTCTACTCAGAAATACATCTCATCAATAGATGGCCCTTTTGAAATAATGAGATTTGGTTATCATTTTTTTATTTTCTTGGAAAGAAGCCTTCTATTGACTATATCATTCAGCACTAACGATTCTCAGAGAATGTATATTTTTCACCCTTCAGACTGTTCTGGTAATTTGTTTTTATAGCACAAGTAGGTTAGTACTTAAACTGAATTGTTTTTCTGGGGCTGTCACACAGTAGATGCCTTAAATAGATTAGATAGATTAGATTTTATAAACCCTTTACATCTTGCCAAACTCTACATGAAGCAAATGGGCATGACTATTGGATTTTCATCACCCTATTTTTTTTTTCTTCCCAGCATGTGTGAACTGTGTGCGGTGGTCAAACAGTGGGATGTATTTAGCTTCTGGGGGAGATGACAAACTGATTATGGTGTGGAAGCGGGCTACGTAAGCATCATTTTCCTTTCTTCACATTTTACTTTTAGAAGCTGCTTTGCTGGTCTTTATCAAAGTCACCTTTCCCCACCTTGTCACTGAAGTTCCCATAGCCCTGACCTCACAAGTAATAGGAAGTGCATGTAGGTCAGGAGCAGGTGGATCTTGACCAGGGATTCAGGAGACCTAGTCAACTGCCCCCTCACGGGACTGCAGGCTCTCACCTGAAAAGGAAAGGCTGATCTCTTCTAGTGCTGATGTGGGTGGAGCTTCATTGCTTTTGTTTTTTTTCAAATGAAATTTCACATGGAAGCCCAATATACAAAATGGTTAAAAGTCAGGGTGTTCTGGTTCTTGCCCAGGATCTGGGGCAGGGAATCCAGAGTCCAACCTCTTTGCCATTTCTTTATTCTCTGTTGGTCCCCACCTGGGGCAGCCTCTGTTCTACTCTCAAAAGGAGCTAACCATCACCTGGAAAACTATTGCTCCCAGGTCTCTGGGCCAGTCAGGCTGGGGAACCAGACCCTGCACCACTGCTCACCAAGAGTGGCCCTGTGGCTGTGGCTTCAAGAGCAGAGGCAGAGGCTGTCTCTTTAGCCTACTTGGCTGTCTCAGCACACTCGCTTTCTGTGGATTTGTGATGAGCTCTACAAGAGCAAAAGGTGTTATCAAAGGCTCTGAGCATTGGTGTGTCAGCACTGCCTCCACCAGGCCCCAGGTGACTGATGCTCCTCTGGCTCCTCTGGTGGGGGCTAGTACCTGTAGATCACATGGTTTCTCTGCCTCAGATGTCAAAGCCATTTGATTCATTGTGAGACGCTTAAAAATAAAATACTGTTGATTTTGCTTCTTTAAATAGCCAACATAAATAACATTTAGTATACAATTTAGAAAACTAAAAATACAAAAGAAAAAATATCCCTCATCACGCGACCTAAAGAAAGCTACAGTTAATATTTTGACATTTTGGGATGTCCTTCTGACCCATTTTCCATGCATAGATGCTATCCATGTCATGTGTTTTTTTTTCCTTTACATAAGTGATATCATATTGTATGTGATGTCCTGTGGCCTGCTTCTTTCTCTTATTGTGAACATTTTTCCATGCAAGATTTGTAATGGCTGTGTAGTATTTCATCAAGTGCATGGATCATAATTCACCTAATCAGCCCCTTTTATTCAGCAACCCAGTGCTTTCCAGTTCTTGTTTGTTTTTGCTTTGTTCTGTCTGCCCTGATAAGCTGGCTGCAGGGAGCATTTCTGGGCAGTGCCCAGAGCACTCCATGAGTGCCTTTTTGGCCCTTTTCTCACACAGGTACATCGGCCCCAGCACCGTGTTCGGCTCCAGTGGTAAGCTTGCCAATGTGGAGCAGTGGCGGTGTGTCTCCATCCTCCGGAGTCATTCAGGCGGTGAGTGGGACTGCCTGTTGGGGTGGGCGGGCCCCTGACACCTGGCTCAGATCAGCAGCACCACCATGTCCCCTGTGGGACTGTTTGGTCCTTAAAGCAGCCCTATGTCTGGGCTGTCCCTCCCCATCACAGTCAGTCACACCCTGCCTATCCCTTACGATCTGTGCAGTCACCAGCTCCACTACCTGTCTCCAGCTGCATTCAGTCTCCCCACTCTTGCCCTCATGGGGTATATGTTTATATCTTTAATGTAGAACTTCCCACGTTCTGCTGTTTGTCCTGCTGAACAGAATCAGTACCTTCATCAGCGGATCACTAAGTCCGTAAGCACACTTTGTTTATTCCCCAGAAATCAGCTCACAGATGCCCATTGAAAAGATCTCAACTTGAACTTGAGTATGTTTGCAGTGGTTTAAATAAACTTGGTATGGAAAAAAGCACATTTTATGAATTTAGACTGAGGGGGAAAGGTACCCATGCGCTGTATACTCAGGTGTCAAGGATACCAGGTTGAGTGCAATTTAGACTTGACTCAGGAGACTGAGTCCATTTGGTCCAGGAATGGACCAAAGGGTTTTCCAGGCAGGGTAGTACAGCATAAGTGAGAAAGTCTTGGTGTGAATGGGGATTTGGAGGCATTTCACCATGGGTGGATCTTTATAGACAAGGCAGGGAGCAGCACAAAGTGAGGCTGGTCAGGTATGCCAGGGTTGGATCATGGAAAGCTTGTGCTCCCTGTTACTGAGGGAATCCCTTATCATGGAAGAGATAGGGAGCCACTAAAAGCTTTGAAGCATAACAGAGAGGTAATTGTGACAGCTCAGTGAAGTGGAGGTTCTTCCAGTGGTTCAGATGGACACCGTCAGGGCCTGAGCTAGGCCTGTGATAATTGAGGTAGAGAAGAGGAGATCGATTTGGGAATACTTAGGACTGGGCACAGAGAGGTATGAGATAGATTCCTGACTGGATGCCTAGATAGTCAGAGGTATGACCTCTGCTGAGACCTTAAGGACAACAGGCTTATGGGGATGGATACCAGTTCAGAATGGGCTTGCCCCTGGCTTGAGGGGTAGGGGAAGAAATGTCAAGAAACCTTGGAATTGAGCCTGGAGATCTGGGCGAGGACAGGGCAGGAGTGAGAGGTGTGCGAGGTGGCATCACCTGTAATCCATTGGCAGTGTATGCTTAGCGGATTCTCTGTAGACAGTTTAAAGGAGAACAAACCCATCTTGGTGGCAGCCATAGATTGAGTCCATGTTTTTGAAAGTTGAAACGGTAGTGTTGTATTATTGTTTGATAATGAAATTGTGTAATTTGCCCTTATTTGTGTCACCGTACTAACAGTGAAGTCTAGTTGAACTTTTCTGGAACTTGGTGCACATGTCTATAAGGGTGCCCAAGCATGAGGTAGGCCTCAAGTGAGGACTACAAGGCCCTAGCCAGAGCCTTGCATTCTCTCTCTTACCCCACCCCCCAGTGGGGCTCCTTTACCAGACAGGTAGGGTTGACACTCATTACTCACTGGTCCTGGTAGCAGGTGTGGGCAGAACCATTCAAGAAGAAAAATCAATCACAAGCAGAAGTAAATGAATAAGAAAGAACTGGATCTTTGAAAAGCAAAGTGTGAGAAATATATACTTGGTATATTTAATTGGGGGTTGGGAAGAAAAAGCCTAGACAAAATTAGAGGTTAAAGATCTAGAAAAACATTTAACCCAGACAGAAAAAAATCATCAAACAGTACAATATAATGTTTGTACTATTAAGCTAAAAAAATACTAAAAAATCGTTTTCTAGAAAATATGAACTTTCATAATTGATACCATAGGATTAGGAAAAACTGAACAGAATAATAACCAATGAAGAAATGGAAGGCTGTCTTCAGAAATGCTTCTTAGTCCTAAATTATTTGTAGATGCATTGTTTTGAGCTTTTAAGAAAAATTATACAGAACAATAGCAATATTTACAATTGAAAAGGAGATATAAGCCAGGATTATTATATCTGGAAAATACAAGAAAACCTAAGAACAATAATGTAACAAAAGCATAGAATAGTATGAATAAAGATAGAAAAATCAGAAGTGATACTCGTAAATATAACATTTGAAAACAGTAATTTATTTATTTATTTATTTATTTGAGACAGAATCCTGCTCTATTGCCCAGGCTGTAGTGCAGTGGTGCGATCTCAGCTCACTGAAACCTCCATCTCCAGGGTTCCAGCGATTCTCCTGCCTCAGCCTCCTGAGTAGCTGGGACTACAGCCACATGCCACCACACCGGGCCAATTTTTTTTGTATTTTTAGTAGAGACAGGGTTTCACCATGTTAGTCAGGATGGTCTTGATCCCCTGACCTCGTGATCTGCCTGTCCCGGCCTCCCACAGTGCTGGGATTACAGCTGTGAGCCACTGTGCCCGGCCAGAAAACAGTAATTTATTATGATTAAATGTGACATAATATAAGTGTAGTACAAGAGAATCTATTAATGTAACTTTACATACTAGGAAGTTAGATAGGAAAAGCTACAGTCATCTTAGGTATTTTAAAAGGAACATTAGACAATTCACTATCAGTTCCTGTTAAAAATGCTTTTTTAAAAATGCCTGTAGAAAGATATTTCTTTTCTTTTTTTGTTTTTGAGATTGTGTCTCACTATGTCACCCAGGCAGAATGCAGTGGTGCAATTACGGCTCACTGCAGCCTTGAACTCCTGGGCTCGGGTGATCCTCTTGCCTCAGCCTCCCGAGTAGCTAGGACTACAGATAGGCATCACCATACCTGGCTAATTTTTTTTATTTTTTGTAGAGATGGGTTTCACCATGTTGCCCAGGCTGGTCTTGAGCTCTTGGGCTCAAGAGATCCTCCCACCTGAACCTTCCAAAGTGCTGGGATTACAGACGCAAGCCATCACACCTGGCCTAAAGCTGTTTCCTTAACATGGTAGAGTCCTTAGTCTTTTTCAAATCCGTGGCAAATATTACAGTTCACAGTTAAGCCTGGTTGTGGTTTATATCAAGAAAAGACAGTGATGGGTGTTGTCATTTAATTTCTTGCTCTGGAATTTCTGCAACACAGTTAAACAGAAACTGGAAAATAAGACAAAAAGGAAATGAAGGTGACATTATTTCACATTAAGAAAAACCATAGGATAATAAAGCTCCTGGAACAAATAAAGCACTGAAAAATACTTAGAACTAATGAGTCTTTATATTGGCCTCAGAACAATTTTAAATTATTTATCTTTTGCTACTAATAGCCAATTAGAATAACTCATGATAAAAAGAGAATTATACATAGTGGGATCAAAAGTTATAAATATCCAGGAACAAGTAATCTTACCAAGAAATGAATTAGATTTCTACGACTTAAATCACAAACGTTTTAAGATATAAACATTGAGAGATAGAAAATGGCTTCATAAATTCAAAGGCTAAATGAAATACATTTTTCCCCAAATTAATATTTACTTGTCCATATACCAAACATTTATTGAGTGTCTGCCATGTTCCAGGCACTGTTCTTCTCTCAGGGAGTTTTGTTCTTGTAAAAGAGACTGACGAGTGAGTAGTATAGGAGATTTGAAGATTAGCCCAGAGGGCAGAGTCCTGTAAGGAGCTGGAAGATGAGTGCTCAGTGAGGAGATGACATTTGAGGGAACACTGGACGGCGATGAGGGGACAGCCAGTGCGAAGGCCCTGGAGCATGGACATGTGCTTAGTGTGCCCAGTGAACCCCTGGGAGCTGGGCTGCGGAGGAGGGTGCGAGAGGGAGTGTGCCTTCGAGACCATGGTGAAGGCTCTTCTCTGAGCAAGAATAGGAAGGCTCAGCAGGGATCTGGGCAGAGGAGTTGAGACCTTTGGCAGCAGTGTGGATTCTACCATGCGGGGCTCAGGGCTGCACTGGGAAGACCAGTAAAGGAGCTACTCTGAAAAACTAGGGAGAGACAATGGTGGTTTGGACTTGGGGCATAACACGGAGGTGGTGAGAAGTGGTCAGAGGCGGATTTCCTGGTGCATTGAATATGGGATATGAGATAAGCAGAGGAGTCAGGATGGCTTCCCAGACTATGGTCCAGACAGAGGAAAGGATGCAGTGAATGTAACCTGAAGCAGGAAGTCTGCAGGTGGGATAGAAATGTTTGTTAAGGGAAGTGTTTTGGAGTTTGGTTTTGGACATGGTAAGTGTGCCAGTGTAAGGGGACATACTGTGTAGACATTTGGAAATATGAATCTTGGAAATATGAGGTTCTGGGTATGAGCAGAGTCCAAGGATGAGCCTAGGGATTGGAGAGCTGAAACCGGCAAAAGAAGCTAGGAGAGGCCAGTTAAGACAGTGAAAAGAAGCCAAGCATGGTGGTTCATGTCTGTAATCCCAGCACTTTAGGAAGCCGAGGCATGAGTATCACTTGAGGCCAGTAGCTCAGCAGCCTGGGTGTCATAGTGAGACCCTGTCTCAACAACAGTAACAAAAGAGGCAGCGAAGAGAGTGTTTGAAGGAGAGGGGAACGGGCAGCTTACTGCTTATTGCTGAGGGGCAAAGTGAAGACCAAGGATGGACTGCTAGGCTTGACAGCATGGAGGCTGCTGGGGGCCTAGGCAAGTGCAATATTCATGTGGTGTCATTGGGCCAGAGGTGTCATTGGAGGATATTCAAAAAACACTAGGGGAGGAGCTGAGCTTTGTCAGGTGTGTGGGAAGATGGAGGAGAAGAAAAGGGGGAGTGGTGGTGGGTGTCAGCTGGAGGAGCGAGGTAAGGACCAGGTGGGTGGCAGGTGGTGAGAGGACAGCAGCATCAGTAGATCGGAGTTCCTGGTGGTGTAAAAGTGCTGTTGGAGCTGAGGGTGAGCTAGGAGCACGGGGCTGATGGCTGGCCTGTGGGAAGGTTGGAATTGAGACGGATTGCAGTGATTTGTCATGGAAGTCCTCTAGATATGATCATGGGGTGAAAGTAGTAGAAACCAAGGTCATCAGAAGGGAAGGAGGAATTTAAGGAACCAAGAGCCTAGGGTGTTAGAAGAATCATCCTCCTGGAGTCACCAAGAATGATGGTGAGAACAGTGGCCAGAAATGTAAATCCACAGGTGAGGGGAGGGGTCTCCTGTGTGTGTAGATGCACAACAAAAAGGAGGTGCTATATAGTCTGAAGACAGAAACTCCAAACTGGGAGTTTAGGAGAAAATTATGTCATGTGTGTGGATTTACTCAGCAGTGATTGTAAAGGACATCTGGAAGGACAAGAATGTTACGGATAAAAACATTCAAAGTTCCAGTGATAGAAACATCATGGGTTTGAGGGTAAACTCATAACACTGAAGGAGGCTACATTGTACCTAAGAATTTGGTGTGATGTGAAAGGAGGCATCACTTACCAAAATGGATTCTTCCTCACATGGGGCGTAGTGACTATTAAACAGTTAGTGAGGAGAAATTAATTTCGATCCTCACCGAATACAGCACATACCAAAATAAATCCAGATATTAAAGAGAGAAACATTCTAAATAACTACACAAGGAAAAAATAGAATTGAATATTTACCAGACCTCTAGCAGAGAGAGTATTTTTCAAGGTTAACAAGGCAATAGAAGAAATCACAAAGGAGAATAACAGATTTTACTCCATAAAATTCCTACAGTATAAAAAGGTAAAGAGGTGAAATTTGCAGTTAATAGCTGCATTATATGTGTCTGTGGAGATTGCTAAGAAAATCCCTTCTCTTTTCTGGGCTCCCACCTGACCACATATTCTCTGTTCTAGGATGTGGGCACTCCCCTGCTGTCCTGGTGTTTGCATGTCTGCCCCTCCAGGACTCTCAGTTCCTAGAGAAAGTTGTTGTTTTCTTCATTTTTGTAGGCACTGTGTTTATGTTGTTAGACCCACTGCCCAAAACACTTCCCAGTAAATAGCCACAATAAGTCAGCAGATCAGTCCAAAAAGACATTAGGTAAGAGACAAATGCTTTCACTAATAATCTAATTCAAAATTTAAAATATAAAAATGTACTTAATAAATAAGTCGGAAGGGGAAAAAGTCATCATCCTCAATGCTAATTAAGGGAGTTTTGGAGCAAACAGTCTGCATGTAGAAATATAAAACCACAGGAATCTTGGAAAAGCAGTCTACAGTTTTATGAAAATCCAGACATGTGAGGAAGCTCAGATATTCTGCCCAGGATTCGCACTCTGGGGTATGCATCTCAGAGAAATAATCCAGAGTGTGGAGAGTGACACGTACACACGGGCCCAAAAAACTGGAATCCAGTTAACCTTCAGTGTTATATTAGGTCAATTAATAGTAGTGAATGCTCTCAACCACATAGAATGCAGGGCAAAAAAGGAAAGAAGCTGTGAAGATCACATAGGCATTTAGAATACAAAATGTGAACCACAGCATGTGAGACAATGTGAAAAAAAACCTGTTAAACTGTCACTAGATTTTTTTTAAACTAGAAAAAATACAATAGATATTTGGAATATTTTTGTTTAAACCTCTTGTACAAAGAAAGCACTTGATAGCTGTTACCTTGCTGCTATGTTTGTTTCTTCAACTCACCAATCATTCTTCTGTATACCTAGCACTGCACCAGGCGCTGAGGTTAGAGAAATAACTAAGACTGCGCCCTTCACCCCTGATGGCAGGATAGGCAAGGTTGGCACCATCGTCACAGCGGACCCTCATCGATGCCTTGGTGTGTGCCTGGCATGGTGTTGCAGCAGTTTATCACATTTAATCCTTACAATGGCCCTATGAAGATAGGTTTTGGGGTTTTTTGTTTCATTGGTTTTTTTGTTTGTTTTTTGAGACAGGGTCTTACTCTGTTGCCCAGCCTGGAGTGCAATGGCGCAATCATGGCTCACTGCAGCCTTGACCTCCCTGGGCTCAAGTGATCCTCCCACCTCAACCTCCTGTGTAGCTGGGGATACAGGCATGTGCTACCATGCCCAGCCAATTTTTTGTAGAGATGCGGTTTTGCCGTGTTGCCTAGGCTGGTATTGTACTTCTGGGCTCAAGTGATCTGCCCACCTCAGCCTCCCAAAATACTGAGATTACAGGCGTGAGCCACTGCACCTGGTCTAGATTTTGTTTTTTGATCTGCACTTGACAAATGATAAAATGGAGTCACAAAGAAGTGAATGTGATTAATTCTGTTTGGAGGCTGCGTAGCGAATCAGGGTCTGGGAGATGAGACCCAGTCCATGAACCAGACAAGGGCCTCAAGATGACTTGTGTTCAGTTGTCAGCAGCCCTGGAGTTCTGACTGTGCCAGGCATTCTGCCATGTGCTTTACCCATCGTGTCTCATGCTCAGAAGGCTTTTGGAGGAAGGCCCTGTTATGATTGGCAAATCTAGTCAGCAGGGCTGAGGAGCATGCTCCAGGCCACAGACCCACGAAGTAGCAGGCTCTCATGCATGGGTGTGGTGCCATACGGTGCCCAAGCTCTGAACCATACCCTCAGTTGCTTCGTCTATAAAAGGAGTGAGGCACTGGGGTCGGTTAGATGCTTTAAATTTATGACCAATTGAAAAATTTTGGGGGGAGTTTTTTCAGGTTGGTTAAAAAATACCAGAGTTGTTATGAGGTCCCAGGTCCCAGGGGCACTGGCCAAGCTAATAGACAAGGGCATTGCCGGGTAAAAGATCTCACCAGAACCCTCTGTCTTCTTTCAGATGTGATGGATGTAGCATGGTCTCCCCATGACGCCTGGCTAGCCTCGTGCAGCGTGGATAACACTGTCGTCATCTGGAATGCTGTAAAGTTCCCAGGTCTGGGGCCTCTTCTGACTGGTTAACAGCAAGCAGTACTTCTTGTCGGTTTCTGGAGCAAGGGTTGGGCTGTCTCCGTAGTCTTGGTGGCAACAGATGTATGACAGTGGCCTAGGATTTTTGTGTCTTGTCAGTTTTTCTTTATCAGTAACATTTGCTCAAGTTTTAAAAAGAGATTAATGCTTAAGAAAAATAGTAACTGAGTGCTAGCATGGCATGCCACAGATCATGAGGGTAGTGGATGGGCAGCTGTTGTTGGGGACCCTGGTGCTCCCAAACATGCTATGTGCACCCCCACCACTGGGCTCTGGGCTCAGCTCAGTCACCATCTCCTCTGTGAAACCCTTGAGCAGATATGGGCTAACACAAACCCAGTTTTGCAAAAGATTGATTTTTCTAAAGTCACAACAGATGGCATAACCTGGCACAGTTATAACTAGTAAAATTCTTCTCATATTTCAGCTCTGTGTTTGAAGTATGCTTTCCTCATGGATCCAGGTCATTTTAACTCTTTGAAAGCCACCAGCATGTATGGAAACACTCAGTCTGGCTATGGAGAGGGCAACTTTAGAGACTGGAGTAGCATTTGGATTACAGATCTATATGGGGTACCATCGTACACACCTTTGTCTTTAGCCATAACTTACAAAAGACTGAGCCACTGTGTGGCCCTTTGAGCTGGTAGGCCTCCTTCTTATCAGGGAGCTACCAGGGAGGCTAACGTCAGAAGTGCTGGTGTCACAGCCCAGGAAGGGCAGCCATAGGCAGGGCCGCTAGATACAGATAAGACCTGGATCAGAACTGGCCCCTTGGTGCCTGCCTCCTTGACGCAGTCATTTCTTTAATTGGCTTTTGCCTTGGTGGAGATCAAATAAGGAGGCCCTTCTGCTTCTGCCTGGTGTGGGGGCTGGCCAGGGCAGACTGCTGAGTCCGCTCTCTTGCATATCCATCCTATAGCCCATGGATTGAGGTCACATTTTCCCCAGATGACACCTCTCCACATTCCTTTTTTCTTCACAGAAATTCTAGCTACTCTGAGAGGTCATTCTGGCTTGGTCAAAGGGTTGACATGGGACCCTGTTGGTAAATACATAGCCTCTCAAGCTGATGACCGCAGCCTAAAGGTGTGGAGGACGCTGGACTGGCAGTTGGAGACCAGCATCACCAAGCCTTTTGATGAGGTAAGTGGGGACAGCTCAGGGAGCTGAGCCCCAGCAACTGCCCCAGCCCCTTCCTGACTTCTGTGTGCAGAGAGGGAGCTGGCCATGGGCCAGGCCACCTGGGGAATGCACCGAGTCTGGGAGCCTGAGCGGATTCACCAAGGCTCTCTGGGGTGGGACTCTGGCCCTAAGAGTCAGATAATACAAAATCCTTCATTTCTGAGATGCTGTTTAATTTCCAACTTTGAAATGAAAGGGCTTTATAGTTTTGTTGTTTTTTGTTTGTTTTGTTTTGGTGATGGAGTTTCGTTCTTGTTGCCCAGGCTAGAGTGTAGTGGCATGATCTTGGCTCACTGCAACCTCCGCCTCCCAAGTTCAAGCAATTCTCCTGCCTCAGCCTCCTGAGTAGCTGGTATTACAGGCACCCACCACCACACCCAGCTAATTTTTGTATTTTTAATAGAGACGGGGTTTCACCATGTTGGCCATGCTGGTCTCGAACTCCGGACCTCAGGTGATCTACCTGTCTCAGCTTCCCAAAGTGCTGAGATTACAGGCATGAGCCACTGCACCCGGCCCAGATTTATAGGTTTAAAGTTGAAGTGAACCTTAGAGATGTCTCCACATCATTCTGTCACCCAGCTCACTCCCACAGACATGGATAAAACTGCTGCTTATAGTGTGGAATTTACTCTGAGCCTCCCGCAGTGCAGCTTGTTGGGGGCCAGGGCAGGATGGAGGAGACTCTTCTGCCATCCCCTGTGCTTGTTGATATGCACCCTGCAGTTCAGGGGCCTTTTTTCCTGGCTAGAGTTAGCAGTACAGTTTGCACATTTGGAAATCAGACTGCAGTAGCTTCTCTAGTATTTTACTCTTCCTTTATTTGAGTTCTGATTTCAAATGGAATGAAAGCTCAAGCTCACCATTGTTCATTACACATTTATTAAGTGTCTATTGTATAGAAGGCAGTAACTGGGCACAGGAAGATAAAAGTGGATTGAGATGGAGTCTCTCCTCTTGAAGCTTAAAGCCGCTTAGGAAAGACAGGCATTCCCATTAGTTGCGTGATGATGGAGTGGTCCAGAGTGCAGAAACAACCCAGGAGAGGTGAGTGCATCAGGGAAGACTTCACAGAGCGAGGGACACATGTGTGAAGGTTTGCAGGAAGAGCAGGCATTTGCCCACTGGTCAGGATGACTGCAAAAGTAAGGTGATAGTCATATGTTCACTTCTCCCCGCACAATACCAGCTCCTGGGCTAGATATATGACTACTGGTTTTTACCTTACTTAGTCTTGCCCTGAAGAGCTTTTGCTCCTTCTGGAGTTCCTCAGGGCTCTGACTGCCAGGCATTGGGGTCCCATGAGGTGGACTCCTAGGGACGGCTTTAGGAGTGTCGTGAGTACCAGCAGGAGCTGGTAGTACTCTTCAGCCTCCACTGGATGGGCCCATCATTCCGGGTAGGGGGTGGATCTATGGCCTAGGCTGGGAGCTGAAGTGGGTGATTTCACTACACTCAGGCCCTGGTTTGTCCTGTCCTGCTCTAGAGTTGTAAGATCATGATCTTAACCCTTAAGTGTTTAGAACTGCCCCGGGCCCACCTTGAGCTTCAGGGAGCTGGCTCTGGACCCATGTCATCTCATTTTGCAGGAGGAATAATGTAAAGGGATGTTCTGCCTCAGTCCCCAGTCCAGGTTGGGGGAACAGTGCCTTTCTACTGTTCCTTTTACAGTTTATAAGGATGTTACAAACCTCTTGTCCCTTGCAGGTGTCCTCACCACCCTTTGGGTGAGGCAACAGGCTCAAGAGAGTAGGTAGTGCCTCATGGTCATCAGCTACATTACAGACACAGGCTTCTGCCAGGCTCCTGGGTTAAAAAGAGCTTTTTCCCCACCAGAGTATATCTTGAGGATGCTGTGCAGATGCCATGCTGTGGGTTAACAGGTGCTACACAGAAGAATTGGGTCAGTGGCCAGAGAGATTTGGCCCACACAGAGGCTATGGTTCAAACAGGTAGCCTTCCTGCAGATCTCCTCAGGGCCTACACTTCTGTACTGTATTTCTTTGTTCAGCTCCTCTGGGGGAGTGTAGGATGCTGCAGTTTCCAAATTCATTTCACAGAGCCCTTTTTGGTTGGGCCATCTGGAGACACAGAAACTGTCAGTGTAGCCAGAAGCTTGGGGTGCATGCTCCACCATCACAAATTTATAAATTGAAGTTTAACTTTATCCTTGAGGCCAGAGTTTTGGTCACAATGGTGACCATGAGCTCCTTTCAAGTGCAGATGCTTCTTTCAGTGTGGAGGAACGACCCATGTGTTGCGGCTCAGCTGGTCACCTGATGGGCATTACCTAGTGTCTGCCCATGCCATGAACAACTCAGGCCCCACTGCCCAGATCATCGAACGGGAGGGCTGGAAGACCAACATGGACTTTGTTGGGCACCGGAAAGCTGTGACTGTCGTGGTGAGTGCCCAGGGAACTGAAGGAAGATGGGCTCCAAGATTCAACAAATATTAATTCTTGGTTTATTTTGAATAGTTATACTTAAATATTTAAAAACTAATTTTACAAAATAGAGTATGTACTTGGTTGATTTATTGGCAAACTTTACATGGTGAACATCACCAAAGTCAGTCTTGGGTTAGGAACATTGTAGCTCCACATCAGCCTTTTACACACTCAGGTATGCTCAGGAGTGCCCAAGCACAGTGTCCCCCTCACCTGGCTCCAGTGATTACAGGTAGGATTCTGGTGCACCCACCAAGCACTGCACTTGTCCCCACACCTGGCAGCATCAACCACAGGTGCAAGGCCATGCCATAGATCACTGAGTTGGAAGCTGCTGTCAGTCCTTAGGCGTGAGAGTTGTCTGGCCACTCGTCTTATGCTTCCCTATGACTTTAATTAAATAGTGTCCTGAGAGAGCCCAAGGCAAGCCATTAAGTAGTTGCAAATAATCTGTGAGAACCAGGATTTTCTCAACACTGGGCAGCCAATAAAATAAACAGATTGATGGGCTAAGGTTGATATAAACTTAAGGATCATCCAAGACCCTGATGAAAATGGACTCATTTTTGCCTGTGTTTGAATAGATAAGTATCCGCCGGATGTGGTGGCTCACGCCTGTAATCTCAGCACTTTGCGGGGGCTGAGATGGGCAGATCACGAGGTCAGGAGTTCGAGACCAGCCTGACCAACATGGTGAAACCCCATCTCTACTAAAAACATAAAAATTAGCCGGGCATGGTGTCGTGCGCCTGTAATCCCAGCTACTCAGGAGGCCGAGGCAAGAGAATCACTTGAACCCGGCAGGCGGAAGTTGCAGTGAGCCAAGATTGTGCCACCGCACTCCAGCCTGGGCAGTAGAGCAAGACTCCATCTCAAAAAAAAAAAGATAATAAGTATCTATATATTGTACCTTAAAACAAATTTTGTATAAATAAAATATTACATATTAAATTTTTTTGTTTTGGAGTCCATGTAGGGTTTTGTTTGAACCAGAGCTTTGTTGTTAAAGTCTTTGGAAATCACTGCTTCATGGTTAGTGCTCTACATGATTCTCCCATGCAGTCCTCACAACCACTTCATTAGTGGCTCTGGGAGATCACGCCGCCTGCCTATGGCTCACAGAGCTCCCAAGGCCCTGCAGCCTCATTGGTGTTGGAAGCAGTAAGCCCAGGGACATGCCTCTGAGTTCCATATTCTCCAGTCTCTGTGCATCCCGACCATTCCTGCCTACCCTCTGGAATTAAAACATCTCTAGGCTACCTGACATCAGACTTTCAAGAACCCTCCTTCCTCTGCCCTCAGTTGTCCTAGGTTGAGGATTCCCAGAGCGCCCACCCGCTTTAAATCCAGGAAGGTGGCTGGGAGCTCAGTGAGTGCTTTCATCCTTTCCAAAAAGAAAGACAAGTTACTCTGGGGGTAGCTCCCTGGACTAAGCAGCCAACCAGGCACCTTTGTGTGATATTGCCGTGGCCACTGGCCCAGGGAGATCACAAAGGACTCTCTGAGCAGATCTCTGCTAGACGATTATAACTGAACAACACATGCAGTGAGGCAAGAAGAAATTCAGGAATTCAGAGGTTCACACCCCTCCTGCCCATCCCCTTGGCCTCCCTTAGGAAATAGGGAGTGAGAAGGTCTTTGTTTCTGAAGCCCCCTTGCAGGCTCAGCTTTTCTGCAGGTCCTAGGGCTGGCCCTGCCAGGCCAGAGGGAATTGAGAAGGCTAGTTTCAATAGCTACCCATCCCCTCTACTTGGCATGTTTCAGAAATGGAGAGTTTGGTAGCGCTAGTTTCAAATCTGCACATTTCCCAGCTTACTCATTTGGTGCCTCTGCACATACTTTCTGACCTCCCTAAGCCTCCTTTCCATCGTCAGCCAGATGCCTCATAGGTGGTCAGGAAGATGAAATGCATGCTCAGTGCCTGGACTCAGAGAATGTCTGTGGGAGACTCCTTTCAGCGGGCTGGGACTTGGGCACAGGGGACATGCCTCATGCTTGATTAATTATTTTTAACATTTGTTATTTGGCTTTAGAAATTCAACCCAAAAATCTTCAAAAAGAAGCAGAAGAATGGGAGTTCTGCCAAGCCCAGCTGCCCGTACTGCTGCTGCGCTGTTGGCAGCAAGGACCGCTCGCTTTCTGTCTGGGTGAGCCTGCTACCCTGAGCTTTTGTTGCAGGACGGGAGGTGTAGGTTGGCAAAGTGTAGCGAGTGGAGGAAAGAGAGACCTGCTTTGGGTGATGCTCAGAGTGTACTTCTACTCTGCACCCGGGGTCAGCCCCTCCTTGGAAGCTCACAGGCTCTCCTGCTCTCCCAGAAGGAAATGCTGAAGACTGGGTCTGTGCCCAGCCAGGAGAGGCCACCTTGACCCCCAGCTAGACCAACTCTCGTGTCCAGGCTCGGGCAGCACCCTCAGTGGTCAATGCCATGAGCAGCATCTTGGGCTTGCTTCCCAAAATCTTTATATGGCCGGGCACGGTGGTGCACACCTGTAATCCCAGTACTTTGGGAGGCCGAGGCAGGCGGATCGCGAGGTCGGGAGATCAAGACCATCCTGGCTAACATGGTGAAAATACAAAAAATTAGCCAGGCGTGGTGGCGGGCGCCTGTAGTCCCAGCTACTCAGGAGGCTGAGGCAGGAGAATGGCCTGAACCCAGGAGGCGGAGCTTGCAGTGAGCCGAGACCACGCCACTGCACTCCAGCCTGGGCGACAGAGCGAGACTCCGTCTCAAAAAAAAAAAAAGAAAAATCTTTATATAAAGTGTATTCACCTGAAAGGTACAGCTTGGTGAGTTGTCATACATGTTTACACACCAGTGTCATCACTCCCTAGAGCACTCCTTTTTGTCCCTTTGTCCCTCCCCAGTCAAGACCTTCCTCACCACCAAAGCAACCACTCTAATGGCCTCTGTTATATTGATGAGTTTTGCCTGCCCTTGAACTTCATATAAATGCAATCGTGTGGTGCTTGCTTCTTTGTGTCTTCATTTCTTTTGCTTGGCACAGTGTTTTTGAGATTCGTGTATGTTACTGCACTTAACAATATTTTATTCCTTATAATTTCGGTGTAGTATTCCACTGTATGAATACACTACAATTTGTTTATACAGTCTCCTGTTGATGGACATTAAGGTTGTTCCAGTTCTGAGATATTATGACTAAAGCTGATATGAACATTCTTGTATAAGTCTTTATGTGGACATATGTTTTCATTTATTTGTGAGTACATACCTACGAGTAGAATGCTAAAATTAAAGAAAAAAAAAAGATAGTACCAGGTGTCAGCAAGGACATGATAAGCTGGAACTGATACAGGTGTTGCTGACAGGTGTTCCCTGGCATGAGCACTTGGGAAAACTGTTTGGCAGTTTCTACCACAACTGGGCATATGACCTGGAGCACTTCCACTCCTAGGCATATAACCAAGACAGATAAGTGCTTATGTCAACAGAAAAAGACACACAGAAAGCTGACGCCTCCATTTGTTAGTCCATTTCACCCCTGGGTGATGCTGTGATGGGTAAGGTTATGAGCCTGGTGCTCCTCACTGCATCCCCTGAGAGGAGGCAATGTCTTCAGCTTCTTTTTTTTTTGAGACGGAGTCTCCCTCTATTGCCCAGCAGGCTGGAGTGCAGTGGCACGATCTTGGCTTCTTGGCTCACTGCAGCCTCTGCCTCCTGGGTTCAAGCGATTCTCCTGCCTCAGCCTCCTGAATAGCTGGGATTACAGGCCACCACACCCGGTTAATTTTTTTGTAATTTTAGTAAAGATGGGGTTTCACCATGTTGTCCAGGCTGGTCACAAACTCCTGACCTCAGGTGATCCACCTGCCTCGGCCTCCCAAAGTGCTGGGCTTACAGGTGTGAGCCACCACACCCAGCCCGATGTGTCTTCAGTTTCATTGTTCCTCTCACCTTCCTAACTCAGTGCCCTCCACAGAGTAGGTTCTCAGCAGATATGTTCAATGGTAGTTGGCGAGTGAGAACCCAAGAGTAAGAACTGTGGCCATTTCTAAATGAGAGCTCTTGAAGGGTTAAGTTTCTCACTGCCAGTGACTGGTGTGCTGTGACCTGACTGTGTGGTGAGAGACACTTCTACATGCAGTGCAGGGAGCAGTCTTGCTGCTGAGCATCAAGGTGCCAATATATTTAAAGTTTGATAAAGCAAAGTGCATACACATTAAATTTTTTTTTTCGTTTTGTAAAAAAGTGTCCCTATAAGCAGAGCAAGTTTGAAGTGTTCTGGGTTTGAAGGTTATCCTCTGGCTGCATTTATTAGTTTGTTACAGAGAAATCTATTACTGTGTGCGTTGTGATTTTTTTTCTTTTTTTAGGCCCAGTATTCACTTAACACCCATTCTGGAACCTGAACCACAGTACCACAGAGAGCCGTTCAGGGGACCTTCCCTGTTTCCTCCCAGCCAGAGGCCCTGTTTGTGGTGCTGCAACCAAAACATCACTGACTGTGATGCCCATATTTCTTAGAATGCTCAGGTCAGGCAGTCACACAGCCTGCAGATTTCTGAGGGGTCTGTAGGCACATTTATGGGAGGAGGGACAAGGCAGCTTTTTCTAGAAGTGGAATTAAGGTGGAGGCAAGATTCTTAATGTGGGTTCCAGATAGTTCAGACTTCAGCCCCTTCTCCAGCACTAAGGTAGACACAGCTTCTCCTTCCCCACCCAGCAGTCTCAGGCTGCATTGGGACGCTCAGCCCCACAGCCTCCCAGAAGCTACAGCAGCACCTGTGGGAGCCCACTATCCTGTGAGGAAGTGTGTTTCTTCCCAGCCCATCATCCTGCAGCTCAGGGCTAGCCAGCAGGGTAGCCAGGCACTTGTGCACAAGAGGAAGAGCCTACCATAGCCGTTGGAATGTGGAGTCAGCATGTATGCCAGCAAATGAGTGACTCAATAGAGAATATGCACACAGTGCATGCTATGCAGTCATCTAAAAGAGACTTTTACAAGATATTTAATGACATACTTATTGTGTGTTAAATGAAAAAGCAGACACAACCATGAAGAATAAAATAAATTTGAATAAAATAAATTCTTACTTTGAAGAATAAAATAAATATTTGCACAAAATAGAAGAAAATAATTCATCAAAGTATTAATAGTCAGTAACTGGGCCTAGATTAAGGGCCCAGGTGTGTATTTCTGTACTACCTGCACATAGTGTAGAATGAGCCTTGGATAAATGTGTACCAGAGTCCCTTGGGCCCAGGGAAAATGTGTTGTGTTCTCTCTCAGGGTGCTTCATCCACTGTCTAGGCTTTGCTATCCTGTCTCCTGCTCCATAGACTCTCTCAGAGGTCCACTCTGGGGCTGTCCCTCTGCTCCGACCATAGTCCTTCAGAAACCCGCTCCCACTCTGCCTTCTCCATTGCTCGTTGTCTGTGTATAAAGCTATTTCCTCTGTCAGACCACAGCAAGCCCTGGAGGCAGGGTCCACTCTAGGTAGCATGCACATGTTTGGCAGGCTTTGGTACCCACAGTTTGGGATCTCTGCAGCTGTAGTTTGAATAGAGTTGAAGATACCTTAAATATCAGCAGCCGCTCTGACCAAAGCTTCTAGGTTGGTTATGTTAACTGAGCTGAATACAGAAGGGAATTTTAGTAATTTCATTAACCTTGGCTGTGTCTTTCCTTCCAGCTCACATGTCTAAAACGGCCGCTGGTGGTCATCCATGAACTGTTTGACAAATCCATCATGGATATTTCCTGGTAAGGTGGATTCTACTTACAAGAATAGGTTAAGAAAGGAGAAGCCACACATTGGAACGTGAGGCCTCCTGGATGTGACTAGGGTCAGGTGGCCAGCGACCCCTCCCCAGGTGTCATAGTGGCCCAGACCAAGAGTGCTGTTTGCACATGTTTTGGAAACTGGCAGTAGTGTACCTGCTGCTGTGAGAATGTCCTGCCTGTGCAGGATTTGCTACTGGAAAATGCCTTTTCAGGATTTGTCTAAGACGAGGAGAATGACGTGATCCTAGTGTGTTCTACTTTACTCCGTCATTGCATGAACCAAAGTCAGAAGCACACTTTCTGCTTCTCAGTGACCTGATTTATATGTATACTTTGTCAAGTTTTTTTTTTAATTTTAATAGTTTCAAAAGTAAGATAAGTGAAATTGAAAATTCTTACAGAACACATGGTAAGGGATACTTTGTACACCTGCTTAGAACTAAAGAACACCAGGGCCGTTTGGGACACAATTGTTGCCCCCCGCCCCCTCACCCTCAGGCCACAGAAGGGAACCAGGAGTTTCCAGCATCTCCCTAGAACACTGCCCACCATCCTCACAGGCCAGCTACTATGGCATATGTGTCTACCTGGGGCTCTTGCTACCAGGCTGCTGATGTCCATGTCTTTCAGGACTCTGAATGGGCTGGGCATCTTGGTGTGCTCTATGGATGGCTCTGTGGCATTCCTCGACTTCTCCCAGGATGAGCTTGGTGATCCCCTGAGCGAGGAGGAGAAGGTAGGCTAACGGCCCTTGTGCTGCTGGGTGCTCTGTGACCATAGCCACAATAGCTCTGAGAGACCCCTTTGACTACACCCTCTTCTTGTGGGATTCACAGACACGTCATTTCTTAACATGTAATGGGATATTTGTCTTTTATATCTTGTAATCCTTCTTTACAAAATAGATCAATTAAAAAACGAGTTCCCATTTCAGAAATAAGTCCTGGAGTTAAGAGTAGAACTATTTTAGGCATCTCTTCTTGAGCTGATAATAGGCCATCCACTGGGAGGTTTTTGTTCTGGGAAAGAGCTGAAGTGACTCCCAGGGGCCCCTGCTCATGTCATTTTCCCCTTCATGGTAGTAATATTGGTCATTTCTTAGAACATATTGTCTGCCAGGCTCTGGGAATGTGTTTTGCATATATGATTTCATTTAAATTGCACAAAACCCTTCAAGGCAGGGCTCATACATTTCGTGGATATGGAAACTAAGCCTCAGAAAATAGCATGGCTCTTTGCCCAGACTGTGTGTGACCCTTAGGTCAGAAGAGGGAACCAGGCCTGCTGCCTCTGGGCCAGGCCACCTCCCCTCCGTGCTCTGCCGGGGTGATGGGGTCTCTGTGTCCTTCTTCCAGGTTTTGAGAAAAACCCTGCTTCACCTACCATAGGCTTAGAAACCTGCCTCTGCTTGGTAGGATGTGTGTATGTGTCTGAAGGGAGCTCTGTGAAAGCCCAGAGCAGGCTGGCAGCTCTCTCATATGACCGTATTTGCTGGTGGAAGCTTCCTCTTAACCTACAGTGTGACCTCCCCACTAAAATGTGAACCCCTTTGGGGGAGAGGTCTGCCTTAGTGACTGCACATAGAATGGGTCCTGCCACCCCATCATTTTTCCATGAAGGAATGAGTATCTCAGTGGCTTCAGGTCCTCCTCCAATCTTGTCACTGTCATCAGGTACCTGGGGATCACTATGCACTCCTTTGGAGTCACTCTGGGAGTCTAATAACCCATCTGCTTACCATTTCCCAAGTCACAGGCTAGGACTCCATGTTGGAGGAACACCAGGGAAACTCTAGCCAAACCCTGAATTCTGCCTCGAGATTCCAGGGGATAGACTCAGGAGAGAAGGGCAGGAGCCAAGATGGCAAGAGAAGGAGGTTCCTGGCCACATCCAAGCCCTGCAGGAGCGAGTCCTGAGGCACCTCTCTTGGAATGCTGCCTCTCAACCCATACTCTGGTGTAAAGCAGATGTCCTGTTAACCACAGTCCCTGTTCTTGGGCAGAATCCCACGTTGGACATTTGCACATCCCATGGAAGTCTGTTCCTCATGCACTTTCATGTACAGCCGTTACTACAGTGTGCTGGGGACACCATCTCTGCTCTCATGAGGCTTCTGTCTAGCTTGTTAGGGGACAAGACTACGAGGGCCTAGGAGGAAGGGAGTATGATGACATACTAGGAGGGGTGGGAGTAAAGGAGGCTCCCCATCTCTGCTGTGCCAGGCCTTCCCATACTCTTAGAGACACTGTAAGCAGGCCAATGGGGACTTCCAACCACAGGGCTGATGGCTACAAATGAGCTGTGAAAGTAGACTCTTGTTCTAGGATCTGATTCCCAAATGCATTTGGGTCCTTAAGAGCCTTAAGTTAGCACCTTGAGTATCTTCCTTTCCATTGAAGCACTGTGGATTGTTATTTGTTCTGCACCAGACTGTGGGGCAGTGTTGTCTTGTTGGCTGTCTCATTTACTGTCCTCCCAGTTACGGATACAAGGGAGGCCATAAACATCGAGGGAGAGCATGAGACATCAACAGAGCTGTCAAATGAGGGACAGGCAGAATAGGGTGGGAGGCGATGGGGAGTTGGCCTTGGGTCCCTTCTCTGCTCAGAGCCAGGAGAGCCCTGCTGTGGTTTGCCTGCTGGTGGGCAGCACTGGCCACACTGATGCTCACTCTGGCATGTTTTGCCTCTCTTGCTTCCCCAGAGCCGCATTCACCAGTCCACCTATGGCAAGAGCCTGGCCATCATGACCGAGGCCCAGCTCTCCACAGCCGTCATTGAGAACCCTGAGATGCTCAAGTACCAACGGAGGCAGCAGCAGCAGCAGCAGCTGGACCAGAAGAGTGCCGCGACCAGGGAGATGGGCTCAGCCACCTCAGTCGCAGGTGTCGTCAATGGGGAGAGTCTTGAAGATATCAGGAAGGTGAGAGCCCTGCCTGATGGCACTAAAGACATGGACATATGCCCAGGGACAGGGTGAAGGGCAGACACCAGTGGTGGGAAGGAAGGGATTTGTTTAGTTTGGCACGGGATCCATGGGTTAGCCAGCCTCGGGCCTGTTGGCCCCTTGCCAACTGCTGCATGGGGCCTGGATCCCCTTTATCAAAGACCTTATACCCAGGAGCCCAGAGAAGGTCATCTCTTGTAAGAACTTACGAACTTTATCCTGCTGGCCTTTCTAGGAAATCCTAGATGCTAACAACAGTGGATTTCGGTCCCTGCCCTTAGGAGACTTCTGTGGGTTCCCCTTCTTCATCTGGAAGCCATGTTTGATGAGAAGGGGTTGGAAATGGGGCAGGAAAAGGGTAGGGAATGTTATTGCTTGGGGAGTTAAATCCATCTCCAGCAGCCTATGTAGGCTGACAAAGCTCCTCCAGGCAATTCAAGTATAAAGAATGAGAGAAAACCCCTAGTTATGAGCTTTCTGTGGAAGGAAGGATTCTATTTTGAAAGTCAGTTTGAAAATCCCTACCTCAGGCCAGGCATGGCAGCTCACGCCTGTAATCCCAGCACTTTGGGAGGCTGAGGTGGGCAGATCACTTGAGGTCAGGAGTTCCAGACCAGCCTGGCCAACATAATGAAACCCTGTCTGTACTTAAAAGAAAAAAAAACAAAAATTAGCCGGGTGTGGTGGTGCATGCCTGTAATCCCAGCTACATGGGAGGCTGAACAGGAGACTTGCTTAAACCCAGGAGGTGGAGGTTGCAGTATGCCGAGACTGCACCACTGCACTCCAGCCTGGGCAACTGAGTGAGATTCTGTCTCAAAAAAAAAAAAAAAAAAAAGGAAAGAAAATCCCTAGCTCAGTGACAGACATGTGGTTCATGGGTGCAGGGCTCAGTCCTTTAGCCCTTTCCATGGCTGTTGTGTGGGGCGGCTAGTGTGGCATGCACCCACTGCTTGTTCTTTGCTTAGGTGTCTTGTTTAGTTGTACCAGAAGGGCTTAGAAGGAGAATTTAGAATACATTTCCTTAGAAGCCTTATTATTTTTAAACCTACCATGTTGAGATATAATTGACATATAAAAAGTTATACATACTTAATGTGTACAAATTAATGATAAGCCAGACACAGAAGGACAAATACTGCATGATACCTCTTTTTTTTTGTTTTGAGATGGAGTGTCGCTGTCACCAGGCTGGAGTGCAGTGGTGCAATCTTGGCTCACTGCAACCTCCAGCTCCCTGGTTCAAGCGATTCTCCTGCCTCAGCCTCCCAAGTAGCTGGGATTACAGGCACACACCACCACGCCCAGCTAATTTTTGTATTTTTAGTAGAGATGGGGTTTCACCATGTTGGCCAGGATGGTCCGATCTCCTGACCTCGTGATCCGCCCACCTTGGCCTCCACAAAGTGCTGGGATTACAGGCATGAGCCACCGCGCCTGGCCTGCATGATACCTCTTATATGAGGAATCTAAAATAGTCAAACTCACAGAGGCAAAGAATAGAATGGTGAATACTGGGGTCAGAGGAAAATGAGAGTTATTAGCCAAAGGGTATAAGGTTTAAGTTATAGAAGATGAATAAGTCCTAGAGATTTCCCCTACAGCAGAGTGCCTACAGTTCACAATATGATATTGCATACTTAAAACTTTGCTAAGCGGGTAGATCTTATGCTCAGTGTTCTTATCACAAGGAAAAAAATAGACTTTATTTTTTAATATTTGGAAATAGTTGGCAGAAACTTTTGCATTCATTTATGTAACTCCGCTTTGCTAGAATCTTCTGAAGAAACAAGTTGAGACTCGGACGGCAGATGGTCGGAGAAGAATCACGCCTCTCTGCATAGCACAGCTGGACACTGGGTACTGGTTCATTCTCCTTTCATGATCTTATCTGGTGAGATCTTCCTGTCTTCTTTCAACGGTTAACACTTTCACGGTGAGGATCTTCATAGGCCCTTCACAACCTGACTGGTAGAACGTGGAAGCAAGGAAGTCGAGCTCAGCTTCCCAGAGTCTCAAAGCCCATACTCCTCCTGGAGCCCTTGTGCGCACCTGAATCATGTGGTGGGTAGTAGTGCTAAGGCAGCCAGCACATCTGCTGCACTTCACTGTTGCCAGGGCACCAGAGGACGCACAAGGAAGGCAGTCAGTCAGGCTGGTTTTTTTTTCTTTTTTTTCTTTCATAAAGTTATTTTTATGATTATGAAAGGTATATTTACACATGGTTAAATTTAGAAAATAGTAAAAGCCCAAAGAAGATAAAAACATGATCCATAATCAGATACAGTCACTGTTAACATTTTGATATCTGTATTTCCAGTCTTTTTTACCCCACTTGTTACTGTTTCTTGCCCATTCATCCATTTTAATAACTAGTCCTCTGAGGCATTTACTGTCTGATTATCCGGGTTCCCGTCCTAGGATTTGCTTAGCCAGTTCACTGTGGACTTGTATTGTGTCCAGTTTCTCATGATTATAAATGAGTCTTTGAGCTCACCTGTGATTCTCTCAGGATAACTTCTAGAAGTAGAATTACTGGGCAGAGGGTAGGGCTCTGAAACACATTTTCCTGTTGGGGACAGAGATGGGGAAGAGACTCATTCACCACTTGCTGTTGTCCCAGTGTATATAGTGAGGATTGTTTTTGAATTGATTATTCTTCCCAAAATGATGTGTGTTGATTCAAAAAAAAAGAAAGAAAAATGATAAGGCCCTATGTAAAAGAAATAGACCCCCACTGTCAAGGCAGTTCACTCTGGATTTATTCTCATTCCACCTATCTGCTCAGGGCATTTGTAAGCCCTTCATAGAGACCACACACTTTAGGCCTCTGCGTTTTGCAGTTGTCCATCCACAAGCTATTCCACATCTTCCTTGGTGTCTGAAGAAACCTTCTCTTGTGCAGTGTACAGATCCAGTCTCCTCATGTTAGATGTGCAGGCTCTGAGGTCCCCGTGAGTAGAGCCAGAACCAGGTCTGCTGACTCCCCACAGAGCACTCATTTTCTTTTGACTAAGTCTTTTTCCTATTGTGACCCTATAGGTGATAATGCCCCTACCTACCTTTTACTAGGACCAAGTGAGACCCAGTGTGTGGTTGAGCTCTGAGCACACTGGGCCTGTGGGATGGGGAGGTGGTGGTGTTGATGGTAGCACTTTGTTCTGTGGATCCTTCCAGGCCTTACCTGGTGAGAAGGGGTAGGTCTGGTCTGGGGCCAACTTTCTGACATAGGATGCATATTTCTGGCACCAGGACCTGATTCCTTTGGTATTAAAAGCTTTTTGCCCTCCCGATTCCCACGTTCTAATAAACAAGTAGCAACAGAATAGTCCTTATTAGCTTAGCTAATCAAGAAAAAAGAAAAAGCATAAATATGCAAAGTAGGTATAAGTGAGAAATAATAGCAGACAAATCAAAAAGATGAGAGACTTCTTTGCTGAACTCTGTGCAAATAAATTTGCACAGAAAATGGATAGTTTTTGAAGAAAATAAAATTACTAAAAGTGAAAAATTATTGTGGAAGAAATAGAGGACAAAGTTAACCCCACCAAAGCCACCAGACTAAGATGGCTTCACAGGGAAACTTTAGGAACTTTTCAGGAACAGGTAACTCAGGTAACTGTTAACACCATTTTAAATATTCTAGTGCATGGAGAAGAAATGTGCAAATTTTTATTTTGAAATGAACATAATATTTATATCAAAATCTTACAAGGATAAAACATAATAAATTCAAGATCACTCTAATTTCTGAACGTCAATGCAAAATCTAAGTGAAATAGTAACAAACAGAACCTTACTGCTTGTTAAAGGCTAATATACCATGACCAAGTGAGATTTGTTTTAGGAAAGTAAGGAGGTTCAAATTTTAGGTAACTATTTAGTTCTACATATCAGTAGATCAAAAGAAAAAAAATTATATGATCTCTTTCATTGATGCTTAAGAGGCATTTTGGTAAAATTCAACGTAATTTTTAAAACTCAGTTAAATGGGAGTAGGTGGATGCTTCCTTAACTCGATAAATTATCTTATTTCAAATTAAGTTCAAAAACTGAACAAATGCCTACTCTTGCAACTATAATTTAACATTGTTCTATAGGTCCTAGCCCATGTAGTTAGTCAAAGGAAAGAACAAATTGGAAAGGATAATTATTTAAGGATGTTATGGTTTATAACAGAATCAACTGGAAAAGCTGCCATAGGCAATGAAAGAAGATAGTCAGGTGGCTGGATACAATCAACATGAAGTCAGGTAGCACCAACTATCCTCAGAGCGCATAAAGAAATAAGTCACATTCACAAGTAAAATAACTAGGATGCAACCAGAGATGTAGACCTTAATGAAGAAAAAATTTAAAACCCTACGTCGAGGCTTCAAAGAAAACTCAAAGAAATAACTAGAAATTCATACCATTGATTAGCTAGGATGGCATCATAAAGATGTCAGCTCTCCTGTAGCCTATAAATTTAACCAGTACAAATAACTATAGGAATTTTTGGAATCAGACACGGTAACTATAAAGTTACGCGGAAAACTCGGCTGGGCACAGTGGCTGACACCTATAATCCCAGCACTTTGGGAGGCCAAGGCAGGCAGATACCTGAGGTCAGGAGTTTGAGACCAGCCTGGCCAACATGGTGAAACCCCGTCTCTACTAAAAATATAAAAATAAGCTGGGAGTGGTGGCGCGCCTGCAGTCCCAGCTACTCAGAGGCTGAGGCAGGAGAATTGCTTGAACCTGGTAGGTTGCAGTGAGCCAAGATCATGCCACTATACTCCAGCCTGGGTGACAGAGTAAGACTTTGTATCAAATAAATAAATAAATAAAATAAAGTTATGTGGAAAAATAAATAGAAATGGCTGAAATATTTCTGAAAAAGAAGATTAATCAGGGAAGGCTAGCCCCACCAGAAATTAAAACTTAAAGGCTGTCATACTCAAAACAGTGAGGTGTTGACACATGAATACATAGAGCAGTGGAATATGATAGAATATCAGAAAATAGGCCCGAGTATTTATGGGAATTTTAAAGGTACCTTTTCACATCAGTGATAAAACATTAGCTAATTCAGTAAATGGAAGACAGGACTACATGCCCCCGCCCCACTGCTAGAAACAATGTTGGGTCCCAACCTCACAATTTATTACATACATTCTAAACAGCTTAGAGTTCGTTTAACTTTTTGTTGTTTAAAATATTTTTGTTTAAAATTTTAGAAGATTCCCCGGAAGAGTATTTTTTATAATCTCAGAGGTCAAAAAATTATTTTCTGTAAGTGACAATTTAGAGTACACAAAAATTTAAAAATTTTAGTGCATTTAAAAGATAGACTGGCTGGGCGTGGTGGCTCACACCTATAATCCTAGCACTTTGGGAGGCCGAGACAGGCAGATACGAGGTCGAGAGATGGAGACCATCCTGGCCAACATGGTGAAACCCCGTCTCTACTAAAAAATACAAAAACTAGCTGGGCGTGGTGGCGCACCCCTGTAGTCCCAGCTACTTGGGAGGCTGAGGCAGGAGAGTCGCTTGAACCTGGGAGGCAGAGGTTGCAGTGAGCCGAGATTGCACCACTGCACTCCAGCCTGGTGACAGAGCAAGACTCCATCTCAAAAAATAAAAAATAAAATAAAAAAGGCCATAAATAGTTGAAGCACAATATCCCAGGGAAAATATTTCCTACCATATAAGGAATGTTTTTTAATATGTAAATAGTTTTTACAAATCAGTAATAAAGACCAATAACAAAACAGTAGACAAAGCATATGAACATGCAGTTCACAAAAAGAAGGAAGTCAAGTATTTCTGTCTTTTTTTTTTTTTAATTGAGGTGAAGTCTCACTCTTGCTCAGGCTAGAGTGCAGTGGTGTGATCTCAACTCACTGCAGCCTCTGCCTCCCAGATTCAAGAGATTCTCCTGCCTCAGCCTCCCAAGTATCTGGGATTACAGGTGCCCACCACCATGCCCGGCTAATTTTTGTATTTTTAGTGGAGACAGGGGGTTTCACCATGTTGGCCAGGCTGGTCTCGAACTCTTGACCTCAAGTGATCCACCTGCCTCGGCCTGCCAAAGCACTGGGATCACAGGCATGAGCCACTGCATCTGGCCGGAAATCAAGTATTTCTGTTTTGAAAAAATGTCGGCTGGGCATGGTGGCTCATTCTTGTAATCCCAGCACTTTGGGAGGCAAGACAGACGGATCACAAGGTCAGGAGATCGAGACCATCCTGCCTAACACGGTGAACCCCCATCTCTACTAAAAATACAAAAAATTAGCCGGGCATAGTGGCGGGCTGCTTGGGAGGCTGAGGCAGGAGAATGGCATGAACCCTTGAGGCGGAACGTGCAGTGAGCTGAGATCGCACCACTGCATTCCAGCCTGGGTGACGAGTGAGACTCCATCTCAAAAAAAAAGAAAAAGAAAAAATGTCAACATCACTCATATCAAAATTAAAGTAAGATACCATTTTTCTTCTGTCAGATTGTTAAGTGTCAAGAAATTTGATAAAAGTGTTACTAAGCACCTATGTGGAGAAATAGGTGCTCTCATACATGGCTTATAATTTAAACCTCTGAGGAGGGCACTTTAGAAATATTTATTCCAAATCATCAGTGAACATTTCATTTGCTGCTACAATTCCACTTCTAAGAATTTATCCCATGTATTATGTGAATCTTAGGTGTAATGACAATTGTTAGAATTTCATAATTCTTTGAGCAGCTAATGTGTGTTCTAAGAGTGTCCTACACCAACTACTTTAGTCCTGATAGCAACCCCATGGGGAGAGTCCTGACACTTTGTATTTTGCAGACATGACTGGAGGCACAAGAGTAGTTGGAGCAAGTCACAAGCTTGCAAATGGCAGAGGAGTCAGACCTGGCTGTCCCAGAATCCTCAGTTTTGACACTGCAATACCTTGCGTCCTGGTGTAGCAGCATCTGTTATAGAAAAAGCTGGAGACAGTCTTGTGGTCCCTCAGTAGAGGCTGGGTTAGGTATATTATGGCACACCCACCTAGTGGCATGCCCCCTGGCCCTTCATGAAAGGGAGGCCCTTTCTGTATTGCTGCATTTCATTCCTCCTAAGACGTGTTTGCACAGTTTAACACCTCTGAGATTTGGGTGTGTTGTACAATCAATGGCATCTGACAATTAGTAGCATTGTTTTCTTTCTTAGTAGTACATATAGAGCCTGTAAATCCTAGATTCAATTAAATATATAGTATATTAAGTGGCTTTAATTTTCTTTTTACTTTTCTGTAACTTTGCAGATTTTCTGTCATGAAAACCTACTGCCTTTGGACCTAGAAAAAAGTTATTTGAATGTATAAAGTACTGGATGTGGCACCTGACTTTCAAGGCTGACTTTTGTTCTTACTTGATGACAGGGACTTCTCCACGGCATTCTTTAACAGCATCCCCCTCTCGGGCTCCTTGGCGGGCACCATGCTCTCTTCTCACAGCAGTCCACAGCTACTGCCACTGGACTCCAGTACCCCTAACTCCTTCGGCGCCTCGAAGCCTTGCACAGAGCCTGTGGTGGCTGCCAGTGCCAGACCTGCAGGCGATTCTGTCAATAAAGACAGGTTAGTGGGTGCCAAGGCTTGTTCCTGTCGCTGGGGAAAGTTCAGGTTTGCACATGGTTTTGAGGACAGAGAATTTTATTCTGTTTGCACTTTGTGGCCCCTCCAATGAAGAAAGGAAGAAAAAAATGCTTGATTTGAAATGGGGACTTCTCAGAGGGGAGTCTCTGATGCTCAGGACCGTGAGGATTTCACAGAGAGTGTATCAAGGCCGACCAAGGGTCAGGCTGCTAAGGGTGGGAACTATCAGTGAAATGCTACATGCTGCAGAGTCAGCCCCACCTGGCAGCTCTACACTGGAGGTCCTTCACATTTCTGGGGCCTCAGCCTCCACTTCAGTCTGCTGAGCACATCACAGAGCATCCATCCTAGGCAGGGTACTCCTGTGGAAAGGCATAGACTCCCCTCGTACTCTCAGAATTATATTCACTCACAGAGCCTGTGTCTTCATCCATCTTTACTTGGAAACCAAATTAGAAATCAGAACCAGACAAGCACAAATGAAAGCCAGGAGTGAATGTTTGCTCAGCACCTGCTCTAGGTTACATACCCTGCTAGGCCCCAGGCATCGCAGGGGCTTAATTGGTGGGTCCTCATCCTCAGGGAGTGTGTAGGCTGGTAGGGGAGAGGCAGCCACAGGGTTGCAGGTGGCCCCTCAAGTCCCCTGGGTAGAAATGGCTAGCCATCCAAAGAGGGGCTGGTATCTCAGGATCAGGGAGGTGCCTCAGAGGGTACCCTCCACAGGGCTCATATAGGCCTACCAGGGGAGGAGGCCTGGGTATTAGGGGCAGCAGCCCCCCAATCCCCTCAGGAAGGCCAAGAAGAGGGAGAAGGCCAAGGTGTCTGTGCTGGATCAGGTAGTCTGGGCTTTTCCCCAGAATGGAGACATAGAAGGCTTTGAGACCTCCATTTTAGGAGAGTGACTCTATTAGGTGGTGGTGCCCCAAATTGGCCACTCCCTGGCACATACAGCTGATACCATCAGAGCGATTCTCTATTGGTGGAATGGAGTCTTGTGTTACTGCAGCCCCCTGCTTCTGGGATACAGCTGATACCATTAGAGCAATTCTCCATTGGTGGAATGGAGTCTTGTGTTACTGCAGGCTCCTACTTCTGTGTGCTAGCACCATGGCTGTGGAGGCATGCCCAAACATTAGGTCACTGTCCTGGGGGGATCCTGAGAGGGTAGGAAGAAAAGACTGAGCAGCAAGACCAGTGAGGAAGCAAAGCATGCCAGGAAGAAGGGGGCCTGGGAAGGATAGACCATGCCAGATCTGAGAACTGCTTCAGGGATGGCCCATTCTAGTGGCCACAGGTCATGGAGGAGAAAAATGGGGCTGTCCAGGCATGTGGTGTGGTGTCTGGGCAGGTGGGAGTGGAAGTTCGCCTGGGTGTGCTCAGGAGGAGGCACAGTGGCCATGGTCCCAAAGCATGTTATGTGGGCTTGGACATGAAGGATGTACCGGGCAGGCTTCTGCCTGGCCTCTCCTTTCTCTTTGGAATAGAAGACGAAAGCTGTGCGATGAGCACTTGGAGCATAATGCCAAGAATGTGACACTGTCACAGGGAGATATGGGAGGGGCCACCCAGGATGGAGGATGCCTGACTAAGGGTAAAGGCCAGGAGCAGACCATGGCTTCAGCACCCCAGGTGCAGGCTTATCTCATGAGACTCATTGTTGAAGTGGGAAAGGTGAGCGGTTGGAGTGGTTTGGGGTAGAGGTGCTGTATTTAAGTTTTGGAGATAGGGCAGTATGACTAGAGAAAAAGGCTGTAAGAACCATGTTCTAGGCCTCATGTTTCACGCAAAAGCTCTCAGAACAGTGCAAAGGGGGGAAATGTGTATGCATTTGCTCACAGCCTTCTCGGTGTCCATAATTTTATCACATGAAAATTTTAAAGAAATGGGAGTAGTAGATTGTATCTTGAAATTTTTTGTGTTTATGGAAGTTTGATGTTTGTGCCTTTTTTAGTAGGCTCCAAATAATGCAAATACTAGACCTCCAGATCCTTTCAGGATTGCGCTTGACATGCCTCCCCTCTTCTTCACCCCAGTATGAATGCTACCTCTACTCCTGCTGCATTGTCACCTTCTGTGTTAACGACCCCGTCCAAGATCGAACCCATGAAAGCATTTGATTCCCGGTTCACAGAGCGGTCCAAAGCCACGCCAGGTGCTCCTGCCCTGACCAGCGTGACTCCAACAGCCGTGGAAAGGTAGGTGGTAGCTGCAGGACCCTGAAGGACCAGGGAGGGTGCAGGCATGGGTCAGCAGCACAGTGGCAGTGTTTCCACCAAGCAACATGTCTTCCTGTTGGGGAAAAGACTCTAGCCGCTCAATACATGGGAGCAAGACTGCAGAGCCCTTAGTGAGCCACCAGGAGAAAGAGGTGGCTCCTTCAAGTGGGAGGGTGGCTGGAAGGAGCTGTGGGGAGGACACAGCAAAAGAACCACATGGGCAAAGGCACAAGGATTGGTCAGTGCAGAGGCTGGACTGAGAATAATGGTGTTTGGATGGAGCCCAGAGTTTGCCCAGAAGAGAGTGTGAGATTAGTTGGAGAGGTGAAGGATCTGATGTTGATACATCATGGAAGTGACGGCCTTCCACTCAGAAACTGACCAGAGGTAGTCAGCTACAATAAAAATGATGTAGGTGAGGTCTTTATCAGATTGGCTTCTGAGCTTTTGTGGATACTATGCTGCTTGTCCATTCTCTGGGTCTCCCCTCAAACACAGCTGTGACATCATGCAGGCTGTAGTTCTTTATTTCTTGGAGTTTTGCGGTAGTGCATCCTCCTGAGGTGGCCAGAGCTAATGTCTGCAGCCTCTGCCATTGGCCCTGAAGTTCTCTGCCTCTTCAGAGGGCCCCTTCCTCCAAACCTGACTCGACAAAGAGCTAAGTTCACATCCCAATGAGTCAGAGCCTGGGAGAGGAGAGGCAGCTGTGGGCTGGGCTTTGGTGGCTTAAGAGCTGTCCCTTAAGAGTTGCACCCCACTGCGAGGTTTATAGGGCTCAGCAGCCCTGGGCAGACACAACCTAGCCTGTGCCACCATCAGCCAAGTACAAGGACACTAGTCAGAAATTTGTAGTAGCCACACAGCCAGCAGGTGCCCAATGAAAGGAGCATTTGCATGTGACCTGTCCTTGCAGTAGATGGTGATTTGGAGCTAAAGCCACAGCATGCTATCTCTGGGGCTTTGCTTATGAAAAGTTCTGTCCAAAACTGCATGTCTGGACAGGATTTATTCTCCTTGGAAAACAGTTCCTGGAAGCTAGCATGGGAGGACCCTTTCTGCAAGTTTGATGCTATATCTGTAAACTTGGTGTGGAATCTTCTAGTCTACTCTGTAATCTCATCATGCTTGTTTCATAATTAACTCAGTGCAGGCCACATGCGGTAGCTCATGCCTGTAAACCCAATGCTTTGGGAGGCCAAGACAGGAGGATCGCTTGAGGCCAGGAGTTTGAGACCAGCCTGGGCAACATAGTGAGACCCCCATCTCTACCAGAAAAATTATCCAGGTGTCATGGCACATGCCTATAGTCCTAGCTACTCTGTTCACTGCAACCTCTGCCTCCCAGGTTCAATTGATTCCCCTGCCTCAGCCTCCCAAGTAGCTGGAATTACAGGCGCCTGCCACCACACCCGGCTAATTTTTGGTATTTTTAGTAGAGACGGGGTTTCACCATGTTGGCCACGCTGGTCTTGAACTCCTGACCTCAGGTGATCCACCCGCCCAGCCTCCCAAAGTGCTGGGATTACAGGCGTGAGCCACCGCGCCTGGCCTCCCTGCTTCTAAATACTTTGAAATGCTGGATTAAATGCAACCCTTGTCCCTAAAATGAATGACTGGTTCACAAGAAAGGGCAGTCCCCAGAGCCTAAAATCTAAGAGTGAACAAAAAAGAGCAGCGGGCAGAACTGCACCATGGGTGCATGGCTAGGGGTCTTGACTGAGGACCTTGAGTTTTAATGACCACATCAACTTGAGACAAAGCCTGGGGTCTAAGCCATGTAGGAGCTGGAATTAAGTCACCAGCATAAAGTCAAGCTGCTTAAAAAAGGACTGAGGCAGACACTGGGAAAACCCAACTGGCAGCACAAGAACTAGCAGAGAAGTTGGAATGTCGCAGCCTGTTTTTGGGTTGGGAGAACAGTCTTCCCTTGAGACTGTGTAACCACAGGCCTGCTGTCTTGTGGATTCAGGGCCAGTTTAACACTACCTGTGTTGTCTAGAAATCACCAAGCCGAGAAATGAACACAAAGGAGATCCTGGTCTAACTGACATCCAGAGGCCCTTGGCAGAAATGCGTATCTACCCTGCAGTGACATTCCCTGGGCCAGGGTGTACAGCGTTACCACTGATAAAGCACTGCTTAGATGATCATAAAATCCAAAGTCACAAGAAGAAACAGCGTGTCATGCGCAAATGTCTGGAGACATACTTACTGGGAGACTTAGGTTTCTATAAACCTGTGATCATAGAATTGTCAGATGGTACTATAAAATATGCTTAAGTCTTGAAAGACATGAAAACTAAAACAAAACGTGAGGAAAGATTAATACTCTATTCTATAAACAAAAATTAACTCAAAAGGGAACAAAGAACTAAATGTGAGAGCAAAAACTATAAAACTCTTAGAAGAAATAGATAGAAATCTTTGTGACCTTGGATTAGGCAGCTGTTTCTTAAATATGACACCTAATGCACAAACGACTAAAGGAAAGAACCGATAAATTGGACTCCATCAAAATTTAAAACTTTTGGCTGGACACAATGGTTCATGCTTATAATCCTAGCAATTTCAGAGCCCAGGACAGAAGGCCCAGTAATTCAAGACCAGCCTGGGCAACATGGCAAGACCTCATCTATACAAAGCCATTTTAAAAATTAAAGGCTTGGCCAGGCATGGTGGCTCACGCCTGTAATCCTAGCACTTTGGGAGACCAAGGTGTGTGGATCACCTGAGGTCAAGAGTTCAAGACCAGTCTGGCCAACATGGTGAAACCCCATCTCTACCAAAAATACAAAAATTAGCCAGGCATGGTGGCGGGGGCCTGTAATCCCAGCTACTCAGTAGGTCGAGACAAGAGAATTGCTTAAACTCAGGGGACAAAGGTTGCAGTGAGCAGAGATCACGCCACTTCACTCCAGCCTGGGCAAAAGAGCAAAACTCCATCTCTCAAAAAAAAAAAAAGCAAAGCTTTTGTGCTTCCAAAGGCACTATTAGAATGGAAAGACAACCTACAGAATGGGAGAAAATATTTGCAAATCACATCTAATTAAAGTTCAGAATTTAAATTATATAAAGAACTTTTACAGTTCAACAATAAAAAGACTAATAACACAGTTTTAAAATGAGCAGAAGATCTGAATATAAACTTCTGCAGAGAATATATACAAAGCACAGGCACATAAAAAGACAATCAACATCATTAGCCATCAGGGAAATACAAAGCAAAACTTCAGTGAAATACTTCATACCCATTTGGAGGTCTGTAATTAAAAGATCAGATGGTCAGATAATAAGAAGTGTTGGTCCTATAAACCTGTGATCATAGAATTGTCAGATGGCGCTATAAAATATGCTTAAGTCTTAAAGGACATGAAAGCTAAAACAAAATGTGAGGAAAGATTAATATTCTATTCTGTAAACAAAAATTAACTCAAAAGGGAACCCTCATATACATGCTGGTAGGAATGTAAAGTCTTTTAGCACCTTTGGAAAACAGTCTGGAAGTTCCTTAAATGGTGAAATACAGAGTTATCATCCGACCTAGCAGTTCCCACACCTACATACATACCTAAGAGAATTGAAAACATATATCCATGCAATAACTCATAGATGAATGTTCACATCCGTACATAATAACCAAAAAGGGGAAACAGCCCAAAGGTCCATCAGCTGATGAATAGATAAACAAAATATGGTCTACCCATACAACTGAATATTATTCAGCCATAAATAGGAAGGGGATGCTTACATGTGCTACAATAACGATAAACCTTAAAGACATGCTAAGAGAAAGCAGCCAGTCACAAAGGATCATAGGTTGTATGATTTCATTGATATGAAATGTCCAGAATGGAAAATCCATAAAGAAATTAGAGTAACGGTGGTTGCCAGGGTCTGGGGGAGGGAGGATAAGGAGTGATTACCAATGGGTACAGAGTTTATTTTCGGAATTATGAAAATGTTCTGGCATTAGACAGTCTTGATGGTTGCATAACCTTATGAATATACTAAAAGCTGATGATTCTATACTTTAAAGTGGCAAAGTTTATGATATATGTATTTATCTCAATAAAAATTAATAATACACCATCAAAAAAGACCAGATTTGGAAATGAACCAAAAAAATTACTTTTAGAAAAGAAAAGTAATAATCATTGCAGTTTAAAAGTCAACAAGCATTTCAGAGAGCAGATCAGAGCCAGATGAAAAGAACATTCAGTCTACAAAATTGGCCAGAGTGCAACAGAGGTGAAGAGGTGGAGCTGAAGACAGGGCAATGGAGAGGAGTCCCCCCAAGAGGATGTGCTGCAGGGCAGTTGTCAATAGGGAATTAAGAGGCTTCCCAGAAGGTGAAGAAACCTCAGATTTTGAAATGGAGCAAGTTCTAAACAAAATAAATAAAACAAATTCCCCACCTGAGAGAAACTACAGTGTGCCACAGACAGAAAGTCCTGCTTATTGAGGAAGACACTCATGTTTGCTTTGCGGCTTTCTGTGGCCCTTGTCTCTCATGTAGTGCATACCCTGAATGAGAAGCCAGGAGGACAGCCCTTGGGTTGGCTTCTGGAGACAAAATCTTGACTGTACATCTTGAGTCCTGGTGCCACAAGGGTTGGTCCCTCAGCAGCTGTGTCCACAGGGTCTCACAAGACTGTCCAGCCATAAATACAGCTCTAGCAGGATCTATATAATAAGGGGCTGCCATCACATTTGTCATCCTCAGCTTCTCACTTGAAAGTGGCAGTGAGTGAGCATTCACTTCGAGCTGAGCTTCCTGCTTTCCTGACAGAATGAGTATAGTGAGCTTCTAGGAGCCTGGTGCTGAATTCTCAGGTTGGGTTAGGTTCTTATATGAGGAAAATGAAATAAAACAAGTCCCAGTATCTTTAACAAAGGCCTTACAGAAAATGCAGATACTTTCTTGATGTGGCTGTTTTCTTGTATTGATTCTCAGTGAAAACCAGGAGGAGCCCTTTAAA